AGCCCTGGTTGTTCCTAGTGGAGCCTCCTAGATAGGGTCTGTTCCTCAGCTGTGGAGGAAAAGAGAGATTGAAATGGCAGTCTGGTTGAGGGAGGGCTGCAAGGCTGTAGAGGGAGAGGAGTAACCGCTCGGACACTCTGGGGAAGATCCTGCCAGGCTAGTGCTACCTTGAGCTGCCCAACCTCTTTTTTTGAGCCTCTGGATTGATCATTCATGGTAGAGAGGACTCTAATACATATACTGCCCAGTCCTAACTCCATCACACACCCATCAGGGTTAGGGATATTAGGTACGTAGGTTAGCTTTCCATTTTTTTAAGTTTATTTGTTTTTTGTTTGTTTGTTTTAAGAAATGGTTTCTCTGTGTAGCTCTAGATGTCCTAGAACTCACTCTGTAGACCAGGTTGGGCTTGAACTCAGAGATTCACCTGCCTCCTGAGTGCTGGGATTAAAGGCATGCACCACCACTGCCTAGATATCTTTTTTTTTTTTAATTATCACATTTGAGATGGTTTATTTGATTTATTTATTTGTGGGCTTGAAAAGATGGTTCAGTGGTTAAGAGTATTGGCTGCTCTTCCAGAGGATCAGGGATCAACTCCCATCACCCACATGGCAGCTCACAAGTGTCCAGTTCCAGGGAATCCAACAGTCTTACACAGACATACATGTAGGCAAAACCACCAATGTACATAAAAATAGAAAAATTAAAATCATTTATCTGTTCTGTATATATGTGCCCGTGTAACCCATGTACAAATTTGGAGGTCAGAGAACAACTTTTGGTGGGGAGGGTTGAGACAGGCTTTCTTTGTGCAGCCTCAGCTGTCCTGGAACTTGCTCTGTAGACCAGGCTGACCTCGAACTCACAGAGATCTGCCTGCCTCTGCCTCCCAAGTGCTTGTATTAAAGGTGTGCGGCACCACTGCCCTGCCTCAGAAAACAACTTTTGGGAGTCACTTTTTTTCTTCCACTATGTATGGGTTCTGGGACTTGATCTCAGATCATCAGGCTCACCTTCACCCACTGAGCCATCTTGCTAGTCCTATTTATTATTTTTTAATCTTTGTGTGTGTGTGTGTATCCTGTATGTGTGTGGGGGTAGGTGCCCATGCCAAGGTCAGAAGGCAAGCTCAGGAGTCAGTCTTCATCTCCCCCCCTGTTTTGAGGCAGAATCTGTCTACTGCTCCTGTGCCAGAGTAGATTGGAAGCGAGCTTCTGTGGTCCATTTCTCATCTCACAGCAGGAACATCTGTATTGCAAAATCACCTTACTCTGCTTGACTTTTACATGGGTTCTGAGGATTTGAGTTCAGGTCCTCATGCTGTGTGACAATGATTCTTCACACTGAGTTATCACCTCTGCCCCAAGTGATGTTTTAAACCTCTTATTTCCACAATTTAAGCATGAGCTCTGGCCAGATGTGGGGTAAAGACTTCAGCTGGCTGTTTAAGGGAGCTATGACAGCTGTAAAGGTGTGTGTGCTTGATGATACAGCCTCTGGGTTTAGAAGCAAAAACTGAGCAGGGGCTCATGAAGAGCTTCTGTCAAAGCAGGGATTCCAGCCCTGGCCTTTACATCGAGTTCTTGCCAGTCTTCTTTGTGCCATTACAAAAGACCAGACAGGCTTGGCAAGCATCCTTAATGGTAGACGGTATGGAGCCAACTCACATCTATTTATTAAAATCCCACATGCCAGGCCCTCCAGCCTGTTGCCCCAAAAGGAGTCAGCAGGAAGTTTATTGTAAGAAAAGTATCACAGTGAGGCAGCAGCCTTCCTGGACATGTGGACATGAATGACACGTTATAAAAAAGAAAGTCACATGCATGTGACACTATCAAAATTGGTAAATTTATGTGTGTGTGCACATGCGTCTGTGTGTACATGCATGAGTGTGTGTGTATGTGTGTGCTTATGTGTGTTTGTATATACGTGTGTGAGTGCATGCACATGTGAGCATATGTGCACATGTGACTGCATATACACTTGTGTGTATGCTTACATGTGTGAGTGTGCATGTGTGTCCACATGCATGTACATACAAGTGTGGTGTGTGTATATATGTATGTGCATGCAGGTGAGAGTGTGCATGTAACCCCTGTGAGCACAAGTGAATGTGAGGCAAGAGTGTTACATGAACTGGGGATAGTGTGCAGACTGTCAAGACTGATTAACCAGGGTGCCAGGACATCAGAAAAGACATCCCTGTCACCTTAACATCTCGTTCATGTGGAAAAGTGCTCAGAAAAATTAAATAGAATGAAACCCAAAGCCATTGTTTTTTAAAACAGCAGTGAATGTCTTTAATGGGCAACAAACAGGTCCCTTGTGTTTCACATGAAGACATCAAAAGCGTCTTGCTCAAGGTGGGACTGAGGACCCCCACCTGGCTCTGTGGGCTTATTCAGCCTTTCTACCAAGAGCCCATATGAACCAAGGAATGAAGATTATAAAACTGGGAGGAAGAAAAACACTGTCACTCTTCTACTATTGATAAACTTTCTGTAAATCACTGTCAGCCTTTTTAGCAAGTCTCACATGAAGCTGTAATAAGGCTCTGGTGAGAGAGTTCAGAGAGTAAAGGGGTTTTCTAACAAGCCTGATAACCTGAGTTAGATTCCCAGGTTCTCACATGGTGGAAAGAGAGAACCTACTCCCACACATTGTCCTCTGACCTCACAGATGCAGCCTGGCAGGTGATTTTTAAAACATTCAAAAAGCTGTCATGAGACTTTGGTCCAGGTTTCCACATGCATAAATCCAGTATGCAAAGGCTGACATTTTCCTTACATACAGGGAGCAGATAGGAAATTCAATTTGAAAATTATTAGCTACAATAATGCTGAGAGTAATAAGGATTCAGGAAATAAATCTTGAAAAATGTGCATGACCTTTCTGAGAGGAAATGGCAAAACTCTATTGAAAAATATTAAAGAGAAAGAGAGGGTACTGTAGTGGGCAGGCAGATTGAGTGTTACAAAGATGTCAACCCCACTTGTTGTAGGTTGAATGCAGCATTGCCCGGGATTCTGATGCTATTGGCTTAAGCTTATTCCACAATGTAGATGGAAGAGCAGAGGTTTATCAACAGCTAGAACAATACTGAGGGTTCCCATGTTGCATATGAAGGCTTAGAGCTGGGGTAACAGAAGCAAGCTTTTGCTTTTTGCTGGCTCCCGGGAGGGCATGTAGACCAGTAAATGGAGAGGCCAGGGCTGGCTTTCAGATGATAGTCTTGGCACATGAGACAACTTGACTGCCACTCACTGAGAAAAGATAGGTGGAATTTGTGATGGTCAGCATTAACTGTCAATATGGTAGAATCTAGAACCACATGGGAGAAGGGCCTCTGGACATGGTTACTGAAGTTTGATTGCGTTTGATTGAGGAAAGTTCAGCCCACTGTGGGTGACACTGTCCAGTGTGCAGGGGTCCTGGACTGTGATCATGGAGAGAAGGGTCTGAGCTGCAGTATGTTCACTGTTTCCTGATTGTGGGTGACCAGATGTTTCGAGCTCCTACAGCTTTGGCTTGTCCTCCGTGGTGAGTTATAACCTTGAACCATGAACCTTATGTTGCTTTGGTCAGAGCATGTCTCACAGGGATAGGAAAAGAAACATCCCACAAAAACTACAAGCAGTCCTTGATCTGCTCCATGTGTAAAGGCCACCTTCTGTGACAGAAACCTTACATACTTTACAGAATACCTTTATAAAATTGGATAGAAATGCTTACGGAAGACTTAAAGAGTAAAGTTGTTAGGGAAGAAGATTTAAATTTCACCACATACAAATTATAAAAACATCTACAAATAGCATAGCTTAAACAAAATAATCCCAAAACTGGAAATGAGCTAGGCAACGTTCACAGTAATCCACACTTGAAAATCAAGCACTGAATTTCTCCAAATAATTATAAGGGGGGGTGGAATCTCAACAGAGAAATGGTCAAAGATGTAAATAGGCAACTTATGCAATAGAGAACTCAAAAGTTCAATAAACAATTACAAACACAAATGCCCAACAGAACACCTCAACACAAATGCCCAACAACACGGCAAATGTCTCAGTATCCCTAGCAGTTGGTTGATACAATCAAAATGGCAAGAAGCCTACATCAGTTTGTAGGTAAGGTTTTTGGTTTGGGATAGTTTTCCAGCTAGGATCTTGTTATACAGCTCTGGCTGACGTGGAGCACACTCTGTATCCTGGACTTAAGCTCACAGCAACCCTGCTGTTTCAGCTTCTTTGGATTGAAGGTGTGAGCCACCATATTGTGAGTAGGTTTTGTCAGATGGCTTGCCTAGTGTCTATGCGCTTGCTCTACTGCATCTGACCCCTCCTCCTCTCCTTTCTCCTTCCCCCATCCGATTCTTCTTCCTCTCCCATCTCTCCCTCCTCCCCTTTTCCTGCTCCTCTTTTTCATCCCCCCTTCCCTCTCTTCTCTTCCTCCTTCCTTCTCTTTCCCTCTCCCCCTCCTTTGCCTTTTGTCCTCACACTGGCCCCTGCTCAGGCACCCCTCCCCTCCCCACACACACACCAAGCATTATCTGTTGGACATCCCATTTTACAGTCACCAGCTCTCCCTGCTGGTGACTCTGAGGTCACTCTCTCATGGCTCCTGTCTCTTCCTGCCTTGCTCATGATACCTGTGATGGGTTTCTCTGTAGACTAGGAAAGCCAGGACAGCCTGATTTCCTGCATTTTAGAGTCACCAGCTTCCAACACATAGTAGGCACACATTAAATTCTTACACTTGGATTTAGGTCAACTGACTTCTGGGAGGATGCAGATTCTCAGAGATCAACTCTGGTCCTGCTCTAGGTCAGGAAGTGACTCCAAGCCCAGAGGGTGTCCTGGTTCCCACTGGAACTTGGGTCTGGTGCCCATGAGTGGCCCAGACCCAGCTTAGCACCTGAGGGGCCCCAGGTCCTCTGCAGACCGCATGCTCCACCCCCTCAAGGCTGTGGGGCAGCAGCTTGGGTAAGTTCCTCTTCCGTTTCCTCCTGCCTCCTGAGCTTGGGTGTTGCTCCTCACTGCAGGACACCTCCCAGCCAGTTCATACCGCTGGTGTCCACAGCAACGCTCCTGGTCCCCAAGTGTCATCACTGGCTGCTGCGTCTCGAATGAAATGCAGGCCATCAAGTGTGTGGTGGTGGGTGATGGGTAAGTGCTTGGATGAGTTGTCTCCCACCCTTACCAGGATGTCGCCTAGACCCTCCCTGGCATACTCACAGGTTCAGGGCTCCCAGGAGATTCTGGGAATAGTCACTTCCTCTCCTAGAGCTCACAAGAAACATTTGGGGTGGACCTGGACTGCTCTTCTGCTCTCAGCCCACCCCCACTCCGGAAGCCACCTGGGTGGAGGGCTTAGGGCTGTGGGTGGGGTGCTGCTCCTTGCCTGTACCCTGAGAGCTGGGGCCGGGCTTCTGTGGGGGCCTAGAATCATGTTTGCATTCAGGGTGCAGGTGTGAAGTGGGGAAACTGAGAGACTTGACCTTTGGACCTTTGTTCTCCAGGCTGACCTGGGCTCTAGTCACTGACTTGCTGCTGCTGGGGGACTCCTGAGGATTTCCACTCTTTCTGACTCTTATCCAGCCATCTGAGCCAAGGCCTCTCTGCCTGCAGAGAGGGCTGGGTTCCTGGCTGTCCTACCTGCAGTGTGGTGGGGAGGACGGGGAGATTTCAGCGAGTTTTGAGGGGCACTGAGGCCAGTGTAAGGGAAGGAGGAAGGTGAAGGGGGTTGTGGGGACTTTTAGGGGGCAGGCTGGCTGCACCCCAGCTGAGGGCACAATGCCATTGTCAGATCTTGGGACCACAGGCTGTCATGGCCCCAGGACTCAATCTGATGTGCAATCAGTGGGTCAGTTTCTGAGGTATTCCAGCATGTTAGGGTGCAGTCCTCAGCTACATCTTGGGGTCCCAATAGGTCCATCCTGGTATGTTCTTTAACTCAAAAGGTGGAGGCCTGGAGACCTCTCCTGGCTTGGGTCCCAAGGCCACGCTGGGGCTGCGGCTCTCTGAGCCTCAGCTGACTTTGTCACTCTTGCTGCTGCTGCTGGAGGGGGGCCAGCCAGCCGTTATCTGCTGCAGCTCACTTCTGCTTTGTATCTGCTCAAGTGGGGGAGAGGAGAGAAGGGGTGGCCGGAAGTCAATGGTTCTACTCATTCAAAGTTACCTTGGTGGCAGCCTGGGGCTTGAGGGCAGACATGTGGGGGGAGGGAAGGCAGGCCAGGCTCCTAGAGTGGGAAGTGACTTAACAGAATAGAGCTGGGGAAGGCCCAGAGCTGCCCCTCTGGCCTCTCTGCTTCCTGGTGAATGATCTGGGCAGCCTCCTAGATTGGCAGGGAGACAGCCTAAATGGTGGTCATCTCTATTTGTCCCATTTCTCTGTCACTTACTGTGTGGGGTCACTGGGTCATGGCCCTCTATCTAATTTAGCTTCCCACTAACCCTACCTACCATCCAGAGTTCATTTTACTGGTGGGAAGACTGAAGCTCAGAGAAGTTAAGAAACCTCCCTTAGAGTGCAGAGGATTTGAACCCAGGTCCCTCCGATAAAAAGCTCCATACTCTATAAGGCTGCAGGCATTCCAGTTGTTGTGGTGCCTGGTGTGGGTTCAGTCTAGTCTTAGGAGTATCACTTTATTCCCTGGGAAGATGAACTTGTCCTTGTTGTCTAGATGGGGAAACTGAGGTACAAGGAGCTTAGGTGACTTGCCAAAGTTGTGTAGATGGTGGATCTGAGCCAGGATCTGAGCCCATGCATGTGACAGCTTTGTGCAGGTCTCCAGGGTCCTCTCCTCTGCTCCATGGCTGTCTGTGTCTATCACCTGCACCTAGAACGTTGGGACTTGTACAGCTCCTCAGTTCTCCCCAGATGCATGGCCTAGACCCACAGCCAGGACTGAAGTCAGGGTGTTTATGGCTACTGTGGGGAGGTTGAGAGCATGGGCATGGGGTGTCCCAGAGATGGGAGCCTGGGTAGAGGGCTTGGGTCTCCCCTTGTCTCAGGCCTAGCCAGTGACCTTGGTCTGTTCTGCTTCTTGTTTCTTGTCTTTCAGGGCTGTGGGCAAGACATGCCTTCTCATCAGCTACACCACCAATGCCTTCCCTGGAGAGTACATCCCCACTGTGTAAGTTCTGCCTGCTCCTGGCACTTCTTGGAGCTCTGTTCTTCGGCACCTGAGGTCAGGCAGGCTATTAAAGCTAGAGAGACTCCATCTTGAGGAAACTGACCTGTGATCCAGCTAGCAATGCAGCAACGTAAGATAGAGAGGAGGACGCTCCAGAAGGAAGAGGGACTATGGATGGACTGGCCAGGAGAAGAGAGTGGGGGTGGAGATGGAGTGTGGAGGTGAGGGAGGAGGAGAACTCCAGGCACTAGAGAGCAGCAAAGTCCGGGGAACAAATTGCCGGGGTGGGGCAGTGCCAGCTGCGAACTGTGAGGTCTTTTTTCTCGTATAGGATATAGCCACCAGCTGCCACAAACTACAAAGGGAGGAGTGCCCAGGTTTCAGAAGGGGCTCTGGGCACCGCACCACTCACAGGGAAGCTCCCCAGTGCATTGCAGAGATTTAAGGCTCCTCGGCTCTCCCTCAGTCTCCCCCTCCTGGGGATGTTATCTACTGTTTTGTTTTTTAGATCAACACTCTTTAGGCAAACCTGCTGCAGGGCCTTTGCGCCAGCTCTTCCCATGCCTGTGGCGATTTCCTGTCTCATCCTCATGCCTACACCCTCCAGGCCCATCCTTGGTGCCCTCCTGGAAGCCTTTGATCAGGCCTAAAGGACTGCCAACCCCCAGAGGAGTTTGTCATATCTCTCCCTAGATCTGTGGGGGACAGGGAGCCATGTGTTTTTCCCAGGCCTTCCTCACCTTCTCTACATGGCGGTTGACACACAGTGTAATATAAACATGAGGTCTTATATATGACAGATGTGTTTTGAGGTGACAAGGCCCAGGGGAACCATCACACTAGTTAAAAGGCCTTCAGTTTGGTGGCCCCGTACAGGATGCCACACTTGTGATTGTGTTGCGTCCTCAAGGAAAGAGGGTCTTAAAGTATCCTGATGGCTTCAGAGTCTCACTGGGGCCCTTATTTTTATCTTCACTGGATCCCTTCCTGGAGCATAAAGAGTATACAGAGGGACAGTGCCCAGGACCCAAAGCTTCCCCTACAAGCCATCAGAGGAGCCGCCAAACCCACTAATGCCAAGCCAAGCCTCTACTCCAAGTCCTCCATGTCCCTGTATGGGCCTCTTTTTCGGGGGCAGAGATTCATCTGTCTCTGATACCTGGCTTAGCTGGGAGGACCCAACAAAGGACAGCCAGAGGGGCTGGATATGTGTGAAAACTGGAAACTGCCTTGCTGCCCAAAGTGGGGATGACTCTTGCCATCAGGTTTCTAAGTCAGAGAGGGCTGGGGCTAGACATGAGCAAGAACAGGAACAAAGGGGACTCTGGTTGAAGGCACTGTCCCCAGGGTGTGTTGACACTGCCTTTGCCCCTGAGTCAAGGCCCTATCCTGTCTTTACTTGCCCAGGCTATTGTGGAGGAACCACCTGCTCAAGGATTTCAAAGCAATCACTCCCCCTCTGAGCCCATGAGCTTCAATTTCCCTTTCTACAAGAGACAGGCCCTGGACTGGGAGATCTGAGCTTCCCTGTGAGGAGGTGGAGATGAAGGTGGAGGGCTTCACTGCTGGCCAGCTGGTCAGGTGCTGAGGGCCCCCAGGTTTGCCTCTGCTTAATCCCCCTGTGCTGCTGTGGAGGCGGCAGCTGCTGCCAACTGCTGCCGGGATTTGCTCCTCTGAGATGAACCTGTGGCCAACAAGGCTGGCACGAGTAGCCTTAAATGATGACACCTGCCCGAGAATGGTTCTGTGCCGAGTGCTAGGGCGGTTCCTTCAGGCATGGTGACAAGACTACCTCTTGACTCCGTCAAATGAAACCCTGCATAAACTTTGACTTTTTTTCATTTTTGTGGTAGGGTATATAGCCCTGACTGACCTAGAATTTACTGTGTAGCTCAGGTTGGCCTCTGGCTTATAGCTGTCCTCCTGTCTGTCTCCTCAACAGTCACATCCCAGGTAAATTTTCTGGGGTTCTTTTTGTTTGTTTATTTGTTCTGTAGTCTAGGCTGTCTAGTCTAAACTCATTTTGTGGATGAAGATGACCTTGAACTCCCGATCCCCTGCCTCTACCTCTGGAGTGCTGGGATACACCATCACATCTGGTTTTATGTGGTGCCGAGCTTACCAGTCACTAGGCAAAACTTTTCATTATAATTTTTTTCCCTAGATGAACTTTCAAAAGTACAATTTAGGCAGAGCCACAGCCTGGCCCAAGTCCCTTGGGTGGATTCCCTTTATGCTTAAAACCCAATAGAAGGGGGCATCCAAACTTCCCACGGTCCACCTCACCTGTCCCATCCCGTCCAGATGTTCAGTCATTGATCCCTGAGCCCTGGACTCCATGCTGTCCCTCGGGGGGACTCTGGGCATGCCTCCCTTCGTGACAGCAGTCCTGCCCTGCAGTAGCCTGCCCCTTCCTCATCTTTCTCTCAGTTTATGTCCTACCTATTGAGAACTCTTCAGGTGTGGGGCAGAGCTATGCAGGGCCAGGGGCCTGGTGTGGCTAGCTCACTCCTGACTCTAGAACAGAGTGCCAGCTTTTAGAATATCACATTGCTGCTGCTGGCAGTGGGCAGAGCACCGTGGTTGATGGGTGCCTGAGCTCTGCAGGACTCAGCTCCATAGGGAAGAGCTTACCGTGAGGTAAGGTTAAATGGGACTTAATCGATGCTTTCCATGGTGACCCTGGCTCTCATGACTCAGTAGGATCAATTGGCCTTCCCTCTGCTGCCCTGACAGCAGGCCTTCAAGACCCAAACCATTTCTGGGCCCTCACCCTGCCTACCTGGCCAGTCCTCCCATGTCCCCCAAGACACCAGCCATGGAACCATGGGCTCTTATCTTAGTTCCTTGAATGTGCCATCCATCCTCCTTGAGCAGTGGCCAGGCCGTAGGTGTGTAGCCCCTTCCATATCCCTACTCCATTTTAGGGGTGGGGCTGGCCTGTAGTCAGAGGCCAGGCTACAGAGCACCAGGTTAGGTAAAAATTATCTCTGCCATCCTCACCATCTCATAACATGCCCAGCAGCTATGCTCACCACAGGGGCTTTTCCAAACCAGGTAACAAGTCCGCATGCCTAGCTCTGCCATCTACCAGCTGGGGACATCTTGGGTGTAAATCCACTCCTGCCTAGGAGCCTACTTCTCGTGTCTAGAAAAAGGGGTTAGGGCAGCCACAGTGATGTATATGAAAGGCTTCTGAGGCCCCTGGCCATTTCTTGGACTCAGCAGCTTGTCTGTCCTCCAGAGAGAGGCTGGGTGGGGAGCAATTGGAGAATTTGACAGTAAGCCTAGATGCTCAGTGTCTCCCAGTGGGATGATCTGAATGTTTCTCACCTCCTTGAAGCTCAATAATGACCCCAGCAATGGGGAAGAGAGTGAAGCTCAGAGAAGTTAGGTGAGTGTCCCTGAGCCACACAGCCAGGGCAGGGCACACCCTGCCCTTCTTGAAGTTTAAGCATCTGTCCTGGACTGAAGCAACCCTCCTGCTTCTTGGCCCTAATGGATGTCATAGGAAGAGCAGTGCATGAAGCCACTTCCTGTGCTTATGTGATGATTGACCTTGGTAAAGACGTTTGACTCAGTTTCCGTACCTGTCTCCTGGGTCATGTTGGACTTCAAGGCCTAATATACATAGGACTTCCCTTCTAACTTGTCCTGGCCATTCTTCACCTCCTCCTGATGCCCTGAGTGTCCAGAGGACTCCAAAAGACAGATGTGTTTGCTGCAAGGCATCTTGGGAATATAGAAGGTCCTGATGTATCTAGTTTGTCAGTACCCCCAATAACCCAGACACATGCCTTCCTACGTTGGCCAGCATTGCCCCCCCAAAGGCTCTTCTGAGACTCACAGGGGTGGGTCCCACAATAGTCACACAGCAGACCTACTGTGTGCCAGCCATCTATTCTGGACTGGCCTCAGGGCACAAAGGAACAAGGTGGGTCCTCCTTCCCCCAAGGAGTGTTGTTAGTAGGGCTGCCTGGCTTGGGCAGAAAAACATCGTTGCAGTGTTCCAGAGAGTGACACAGAGTCCTGGAGAAAGTGGGAGGCAATTTAGGATCGGTGGGACTACTTGGACAAGCTGAGGTAAGGAGGGGCATTTCCCCAGATGTCCCAGTTGTCAACAAGCTCAGGAGGCAGGAAGTATGAGCCTACCTTGCGAGTGAAGAGCAGATGAGGAAGCTAGGAGCTCGAGGTCCCAGTGGGCCATGTCTTGAGACAAGGAGTGTGTGCATGTTTGAGCTCAGGAGGCTCCCACAGACAAGCGATGAAGGCATCCCCAGAGGCACAGCTGTGGCAGGGTGCAGCGAGCCTACTGGACACAACTTCTCCCTTTGGTTGGTCACTCACTGGCTGTGTCATGGGTCATGATAACCCTCTGATCCTTGTCCTGTTCCCCAACTGATGAATCTGTTTCTTTCCTCTAGGGGTGTGAATAGTGGGATTTTACTTCCTAAAGCCCCCTCCACTCAGTGTGCAGTCCCTGGGCTTCAAAGTGTTCCCTGTCCCAACACTTGCTCAATGGGTCCAGTGTCTGGCCCACTTCAGTGCTTGCCCAGGCAGATGTTGCCACAGGCTCACAATTGATGTTTGTCTATCTGTCCTCTAGATGTGGTTCCTGCACAGCCACTCGTCATGGGAAGGGATGTCTGGTCCAGGAAGCTCATGACATGGTCCCCTCACCCTGGCAGGGCATCAGCAGCTCATTAGCGCCTGCATTGGCTGTTATCATTTCTTGTCTCTTACCTGTTTCCCTCTGACAGCTCCCTGGAGTTACTTCCCGAACGCACCCCTCAATGCCTCCTTTACTCAAGGTTTGCCTTAGGGGGACCCAGCTTAAATGAGGGATAAGTAGTCCCTCAATAGACACTGTGATGAGCTAGGCATCCAGCATAGGAGGAAGGTAAAATTCACTCTCATCAACCTGGTTGGGGGGGTAATCACACGATCCAGCTGACACCTTTCCTAAGGACAAGTGGAGGCAGAAAAATGATCAGGACACTTTTTCCTCTTTGTTTACTTGTATTCCAGATGTTTTTTTTTTAACAGTCCCCATAAGTTATTAGAATAGCCTGCTGCACAGGGCTGTGTGACTTTGGGCTAGTCTTATCACTCTGAGGAGAACAACATTGGCCTGTGCTGCAAGTCCCGGCTGGGCTCTGGCTAACCTTGTCCTTCCTGCTTCCCACAGGTTTGACAACTATTCGGCCAATGTGATGGTGGACAGTAAGCCTGTGAACCTGGGGCTATGGGACACCGCAGGCCAGGAGGACTATGACCGCCTCCGGCCACTCTCCTACCCGCAGACGGTGAGCAGCCCCATGCCTCTTTGTGGTACAGGTCCTGATCCTGTTCCATCTGCTGTTGATGACCTCCAGGCCAGCTGTGCCTGCTCAACCCCGAGTCTCCCTTGAAGGCCTGTGGGACAGAACTAGGGTGCTCCTCAAACTGTGCTCCCTCGGCCCTCCTGTCCCTCGTATCCATGCCCTGAGGTGCCAGCCTTTCTCAGTGCACAGTATGCAGACACTGTCGGGGCATGCGAGCAGCCAGGCCTGTGTGCCTGGTCTGGTTTGGGCAGGGGACCTGCTGCAGGTGGCTCTGTGGCTTCTGGGTCCCCAGATCTGGTGTCCCTATCCACAAAGGCATAGAGAGTGAGTGTCAGATCACCAGATAGATGGTTACACAGTGGGAGGCAGGAGCTGGGGATGGGGATGGTATGAGAGGGGTGGCGCAGACAGGACTCTCTGGCCTCCCTCTTGTCAACCTTGCTCCGCTCTGTCTCCAGGATGTATTCCTCATCTGCTTCTCACTCGTCAGCCCGGCCTCCTATGAGAACGTCCGAGCCAAGGTGAGCCTCAAGTAGGCTGGGGGGGGGGCACATATCATCTTGGATTAGGAGAATCCAGGGTAGAAGATTACTAGTGTCATACAGGCCCAATGAGGGGAGAGACTCCCTGGGTTCCCCGCCCTGCTTCTGTTCCCTGTCCCTCTCCTCCTGCCCAATCTTGAGTCCCCTCTTATCAACACACAACCTCTCTTGACTCTTATCTCAAAATAAAAAAAAAAAAAAAACAAGAAAAAACAAAAATCAAAAAACCAAAACCAAAACCAAAAAACAAAAGCAAAAAAAACCAAAACAAAACAAAAACAAAAACAAACACCACCACCATCCCCCCCCCCCGCCACGGGCTTAGATTCTGCTATACCTTGTGCGCCTGCTCTGAGTCTTCCTCCCTTTGCCTGCCGCTGTGGGCATCTGTGTCCCGCTCCCCTCTCCTCCTGTAGTGGTTCCCTGAGGTACGACACCACTGCCCCAGCACTCCTATCATCCTGGTTGGTACCAAGCTGGACCTGCGGGATGACAAGGACACCATTGAGAAGTTGAAGGACAAGAAGCTGGCTCCCATCACCTACCCACAGGGCCTGGCACTGGCAAAGGATATTGGTATGGGGCTTGAACTCAGAGAGGGGGAGGTGGGGGGGGGCTGGGGTGCCTGGATAGAGCCTTATCCTAGGGTTTATGCTGTCTGAGCAAACTCTGGCTGTGCTCCAAACCACTGTACCAGCTGTGTGACCTTGGGCTGGTCCATCTGCATTTCTGTGCTTGTGTTTCTGTCAGGAGGGTATGGCGGTAGTGATGGTTTTTTACCATGTTGGGTGTCTGAGTGAAATGACTTGGTTCCCAGGTTCCCTGAGCAGCATTACGCAGAGGGTTTTGTGTTAGCTGATTCAAAGGATTGCTGGAAATAGGTTGAAGCAGAGGTGGGAGGCACAGCCTATAGCTGCCTGGAGTACATGCAGCCAAGTCAAGTTGGGCTGTTTCTGAAGGCTTCCTGGAGAAGGTGTCCCTGCTGGGGACTTGATGGGTGACTCTTTCCCTGTGCCTGGCCCTCACCTCCCTTTCTCCACTCATCCTGACTCTCCACACCAGTCACTGCGTCCAAGGACCAGACAGAGGAGACTTGACCGTTCAAGGTCATCCAGCTGGGGAGGTGGGTGGCAGTAACTGACAGCATGGAAGCAGGTTGCCAGCTGGCTAAGCTCCCCATCCCCAGGAGGCCTAACTCTGGGTCTGGCCTTTTCATGGTGTCCTCCTGAGGCAGGACTACCAGCTAGGTCTGGTCTCCACCCAGCCCTGCACCTCTTCCTCTGCAGGAAACAGAGGGAGAGGCTCTTCACAGGAAGAGAGACCGCAGCCTTCCTGTGACTAGCTGGTTGTCATGGCTGTCTCCCCAGGGGCCTCTCTGCTGTTTTACCCTGAGTCCTTTGCTCTAGCTTATACATGTCAGATACATACTTCAGCTTTCTTTTCTTACGCAGCTTGTTCCCAAACTTGGGCGTGCATTAGAATTGCTCCCCCATCTCTCAAGAGGGGGGATGACATGGTTGCAGGAACCTGAGGCAGCTGTCACAACCCACAGCCAGCGAGCAGAGAGTCAGGATGCTGGTGCTCAGTTCACTTTCCTCTTTATATGGCCTTTAAAAATAGGATCTTTTATTTATTCTTAGACAATTTCATAATAGTAAACAATGTGTCATGATCATATCCACCCTGAGCTATTCATTTCCTCACTCTCCCCAGACACCTAACACACGTCCATCTTCCCTTCTTGTCCTGAGTATGTATGTGTGTGCATGCCTGTGTGTGTGTGTGCATGTGTGTGAGATGCATGCATGTGTGTGTACATGCGTGTGACATACACATGCACACTGAGTCCACTTAGGGCTGCCTGCTGGAGTGTTGACTGATCTTGGCTTTGACCTTGCACAGGTCTTTTGCTAGTAACCATAGCTGCTGTGAGTTCACAGGTACAATGACCACGTCATACCCAGAAGACAATATTTCACAGTACCCGACGTCACCCTGACTCTTCCTGCTTCGTCTTTCTCAGTGTTCCCTAAGCCTCAGGGTAGGATGTGGATTGATATAAGTGTCCCATGTAGTACTGAGCATTCAGTAGTCACTCTTTGTACACTGACTAATGTTTCTCTACATTGATTGCTGCCCACTACAGAGAAGCTTCTCTAGCCAGGGTTATCTGTCTCTCTCCCCTCCCCTCCCCTCCCCTCCCCTCCCCTCCCCTCCTCTCTTCTCTTTTCCCCTCCCCTCCTCTCCTCTCCTCTCCTCTCCCCTCCCCTCCCCTCCCCTCCTCTCCTCTCCCCTCCCCTCCTCTCTTCTCTTTTCCCCTCCCCTCCTCTCCCTCTCCCCTCCCCTCCTCTCCCCTCCTCTCTTCTCTTTTCCCCTCCCCTCCCCTCCCTTCCCCTCCTCTCCCCCCCCTCCTCTTTTCTCTTTTCTCCTCCCCTCCCCTCCTCTCCCCTCCCTCCCCTCCTCTCCTCTCCCCCTCCCTCCCCTCTCTCCCCTCCTCTCCCCTCCCCTCCCCTCTCTCCCCTCCCCTCCCCTCCTCTCCTCTCCCCTCCCCTCCCCTCTCTCCCTTCCCCTCCCCCTCCCCTCCCCTCCTTCTCCTCTCCTCTCCCCTCCCCTCCCCTCCCCTCCCCTCCTTCTCCTCTCCTTTCCCCCTCCCCTCCTCTCCTCTCTTTTCCCCTCCCCTCCCTTCCCCTCCTCCCCTCTCCTCTCCTGACTCTTCTTTCCCAACCCCTTGCTCATCTCACTGTGTAGCCTAGGCTAGCCTCCAATTTGTGGAAACCACCTGTCTCAGGCTTCCTGGTGCTGGATTTTCAGACCTGGTCAGTCACTCCTGGCCAAACTTCTTCCTTTTTGAGTGTGTGTTCTTCATGACAGAACTCTGTAGATAGGATCTGTTCCTGGCTGCATCACTGATTGATTGTGAGGTCTCAGACTTCCAGTTCCTGCTCTCTGAGCCTTAGTTTCCTAGTATGCATGTGAGTGTGCATTAGTGTGTGTGTGCATGTGTGTAGGTGGGTATGTGTGTGTGCTTGTATGTGTGTATTATGTATGTGTGTGTGCATTAGCATGTGTGTGTGTGTGTGTGTGTGTGTGTGTGTGTGTATGTGTGTCTTTCTGCCTGTGACTCCTCTACTCCCTGAGGGTATTTCATCCTCTGTGGGGAGCTGAGAACCCTCCCTTCCAGCTTCCATGAGAATGAGCAGGTGAACATCCCAGCCAAATCCCCAGGAACCTGAGTTCAGACTATCTCACAACTGGTCACAGGGATAGGGAGCTCCAAAGAGCAGAGGCCAGGAGTCCCTGCCCAGAGTCATCTCTGTAATAAATGGCCAGAGGCCAGGATGGGACCCTGGCTTCATCTTCTCAGTAGGAACAGAGTGCCTTGGGAACATTCCAGGGACAGGAAACATGCATGCTGTCTCCGTCCTTTCCTCAGGACTCTGAAATCCCACAGCCTCTCCGCTCAGAGCTCTGTCTGTGTTCAGGGTGCTGGGGATGGGAAGTCGTGCAGACTCATGGGGGGGGGGGGCTTGTCCTCTGAGGGCTCAGATGGGCTCTCTGTGTTCTTCCCCTCACCGAATAGCCTCTGTTAGTCTTGGTTTCCTCACAAGTTGGGGTGAAACTAAATGATAGCTGTACTGGGGTATCCTCAGACCTGCCCAGAGGTGTCAGCTCCATGAGGAATGCTGGGAGATTTGGTCATAGAAAATGGTCCTGTCCTTTCACAGGAAGGACTATAACCTGTCCACCTACCAAACAAAGGGCCTGTGTCCTAGAGAGCCTAGCCTGCCCTGGGGCCACCGAGTCCTACAGGAGGAAGGTGAGGAACAGAGAGGCAACTCCCTACTCAGGATGACACAGCTTCTCCATGACTCTCCTGCTGCCCCTCCTCAGATTCAGTGAAGTATCTGGAATGTTCTGCACTCACCCAGCGAGGCCTGAAGACCGTCTTCGATGAGGCCATCAGGGCTGTCCTGTGCCCACAGCCTACTCGACAGCAGAAGCGTCCCTGCAGCCTGCTCTAGAGGTACACACCTCTCCTCTGCTGCTAGAAGGACACCTTGCCCCTGGGCCTGGGTTGCGGGTCACTGAGAGTAACATTAGAGTAGGACAGAGGGCCATGGGTATCAGGTAGCCTCAGTTTCCCCTCTTCGTCATTGTCTGTGGAGCTTCTTCCCTGATAGATACAGCCCTAGGAAGCCAGAACCTGCCCAGTGACCCAAGCTGGGACACAGGGGCTTCTGGGCTCTCACCCAGCTCATCCTTGCCACAAAAACCTAATGGAACCTGAGAACCAACAGTACCCACAGCAGGGCATGTGGGGGAGGATCAGAGGGACCTGGGGAAGGCAGAGGTTGGAAGCAGCCACGGGCCTGGATGGCCCTGGGCTGGAGCTTCAGTTTGTCCTTGACACTGATCTTTTCCTATGTCCCTTTCAGGTCTCATTCCAGTCCTCCTGCCCTGATGGTCTTGACCCTCCAGGGTTCCTACCAAAGCCCAACGATGCGCTGATGGAGCATGCCATCCCCTCCTTGTGGTGTTTCTTCCCAGACAGCTGCAGAACTTGCCTATCTCCTCAGTGGAGATCCCCTGGGGATGGAGGATGTTGATAGGCCACATCCTATCTGGAATACTCCTGTGTTCCCAGGGACCAAAGGGAGCCCCAGGACTCAGCCAGCCATCCTTATATCATACAGTGCCATACACCCACCTTCTCCAGGCCTTCCTGACTCCCTCTTGAAGTTTCTAGTTCCCATGGCCTGCCACCATCATGTGTCTTCAGGGACAGGCTCTCTTGCTCCAATACCCCCAATTCACATTGTTGGAGTCATCTCTCTCCCAGAAACAAAGGGAGAGATGTGTGAGTCTGCTTCTCTGTTCTCCTTCTTCAGAAAAAAACACAGAACAAATCCATTTCTGTACATTTCTTGTCTGCCCAGCCAAGTGAGGGGTCCAGCCTACCCCTACCATCTTTCAAGACTTCCCACTTTATTCAAGGGGTCCTGAGCTGTATTTTCTTGACTGTCCACCTCACCCTGCCAGCCAGGAGCAGAACCACTGCAGATAGAAAATACAGCTCTCTTGCTTATGCAGAAAATAAATATATGGTTTGAGTTGGAACTGCTGTGACTTCCGGTATAGCTTGATCAAGGCATGGCGGAGGGGTCCAAATAATGTCACGGAGTTTGCATTCCTGCTCCTCTGGCTCTGCCTGCTTGCTGGCAGGCTCATTTTCAAGCAGTTGACTCTTGGGGCTTGATCCCTGAGGTTCAAGTTCAGGCAAAGGATCTGCCCCAGGGAAGGTCCTAAGGAAGGATTGCTTTGATTGGACCAGCTTGTCTTAGGTCCACCTTCAACCATCTGCCTGTGTCAGAGAGTAGCTGTGCTGTGGTTGGCCATGTGTTAAGTTAAAACCAGGGGTAGAGGTGACCCCAAAAAGCTGGAGTACAGGGTGGGTGTGGGGATGATGGGGTCTCGAGGAAAACCTTTCTAGAACCAGATGGGTGTCCAGAAGCCAGAGATCTCTATGGAAAATGTCCATCCCAGGGACAGTGCCTGCTCCAGCTGGTACTAAGAAAAACAGATTTTTTTTTCTTTTGTTTTTGAGGTAAGGTTTCATTTTTCAGCCTGGGCTGACCTCAGACTGGCTACCTCCTGCCTCAGCTTCCTAAGTGCTGAGATTACAAGTATACACCTCTATGCCTGGATAACGGTGAAATTCTTACTAGAGAGTTTAGGCTGCTGTGGAAACTGATGAGGTGCCCATATCAGGCACCCCAGGGCCTGGCCCTGAGACAGTCCCACTTTGAGTATGATACTGCTAGAAATTCCCAGGCCTTCCCCCAGCATACCTGTGTGTGTCAGGTGCTGCCATAGTCTCAGGGATTTTGTGACACACAAGTTCCCACCCCCAGGGCCTGAGACTCTGAGTGGCTGAGAGGAGAAGGCTCACCCTGGAAGATCAGCTCCAGCCAAGGAGTGCCCAGCCTTTCTGTTTTCTGTCTCCTAGAGTTCCAACCCACCCCTCCCCCCACAGCTCCACAGCACCCCCTCTCCTTAAGGGACTGCACCTCTGGAGGGGCTGGGTGCAGCAGGGGAAGCCACTGTTCCTAGGTTGGCTTGTGTGAGGTCAATCTTTCAAGTTATTTCTCTTGACACAGAAAGAAAGATTTGAAACATACACTTGCTGGGAGTTCCAGCATAGTTGAGAGGTCCTGTACTCCAAACAGGCTGGCATGCTAAAGGCCTGAGTGTCCCCTGCAGTCAGCCCAAGTCTGAGGGTGCCTCTTTTAGCTCCCTGCTCCTTTCTGTGTGATACCGAGCAATGACTTACATGATTCAAATCATCAAAATGCAGAACTGAGTGGTCCAACCCCTCCTCCCTGCAGACCACATAAAAGCACCCAGGGCTCTAATCTGGAGCATTGGAGTGTACTGTCACTCACACAACCTGCCACCCTCAGCCTTCTTCTTTCTGATCTCCACTTTCACTTTGCTCCAAGTAAAGTCCCTGTTCCTTCTGCGATCTCTGTAAGCCTTTATTTCAGTTCCTTGCACACAAGACCAAGAGCCTAAAAAAAAACTGCCCACCAGAAACACTGCCATGACCTTTCTTCTCCTCTGTTGCTGATCTGCCCACCATCTTGGGCCCTGTCTTGTGTTCCTTAAACACCCCTGTGTGCTGGGGTGGGACCCTGCTATGGGTGTTCAGCCTCCCAGCTGCCCGGAGGCCCTGGTTTTTACACCAATGATATGAGACACAACTGGGCCCCACCCAGGCACATAATCTCAGTCCCCCATCTTGTCTTTTGGGGTGCCTGTAGCCATTGCAAAGGAAGAAACCGGCCCTGGGAAGCCTAGCAACCAGTGCTCAGATGGAAAAAGCAGCTTGGCCCTCCCCCACCCCTCCCTCCCACCATGTTACTCTCCTTGCCTACAGAATGCCAGCATGGGACAGGGCAGCAGTGTACTTAGTGTGAGACAAAACACTTATTTTCAGGGGCTGGAGAGATGGATGGCTCAGCAACTAAGAGCTCTTTGCTGCTCTTTCAGAGGAGCCAAGTTTTGTCCCTGACTCCAGCTCCAGGGGCATCTGATGTCCTCCTTTGGCTTCTGTAGGGGCGCGCGCGCGTGTGCGTGCGCGCACACACCATTAAAAAAATGTTTTTTTCAGGACAGGTAGCCCTGGTAGCCCTGGCTGCCTGGGTGTCCTAGAACTCGCTCTGTAGACCAGACCACCTGCCTCTGCCTCCTGAGTGCTGAGATTAAAGGTGTGCACCACCACCACCTGGCCACCATTAAAAATTGCAAAATAAATATACATTTTTTTCTCAACCTTTGGGCCTCTGAGGTCACAGTATTTTGTCCAACCACACACAAGGAGAGTCAGTCAGAGAAGTGGCTTCTTGGGGGAAAGAGAGCAGCACTGGTACACACTGCTGTCTGTGCTATCCCTCTCTGTGCTCTGAACACTGCTGGGCTATCTTCAGCAGCCACTGCCATCTTGTGAGCTTGAAGCCACAGCGTACAGAGGGGAACCAGCTCAGAATAAAGACAGGGTAAATTGAGGCTGGTGCCTGAGAGCCTCAGTCAGCCTTGTTCTGGGATGGATGACGAAGGCCATGGTTGAGGGTATTTTCTGCTGGTGTTTGCTGCTGGCTGAGGCCATAGACCCTGAGCACAGTGGCTGAGGCTCAGAGGCCTCCTGAACAGAAAACAGCGACTGTGAGCAGCTGAAAAGAACATGTTTTGAAACAGGAAGAAGTGCTGGGTAGAGGCAGGAGTGAGGCTCGCTCCAGCAGCCTCTCGGGTGTGTGGCCTGGGAGGGGCCGGGGCCAGGACTCTATGCTCAGTGCTCTCACCCAAGACATCATGGCGGGGAGCTAAGGCAAGCACTTGTTGGACCAGACCTCCTCCTCTGAAGGTCCCTCCCTCAACACCCGGCTGTTTCTTGCTCCTTCTTCCAAAGCAGGGACCTTCTAGCCCCATCGTCTCACAAGGGGGGGGGGGGCACTCGCTGGTCAGGCCTGGACACTGCCCCTCCCTCCTGTGCTGGGCAGCAGTGACACCCTTCCCAGGCCTCTACTCTAACTCAGGCCATGTAGGAAGCTCCCAAGTCAGCAGAGAACAGGGAAGTGGCTCCTCTGTGTGGGTGTCCCCTGTGTTCTCAGCCCCATTTTTCCCTTCTGCACATGCCGGACATCTCTCATCCCTCCCTCCACTGCTAATGTCCTCACCAGTCTCACTCCCAGGAGCCTCTTGTCACAGTCAGTGCTGCTACATAACAAGTCAGACTCCTCCAGGTGCGGCCTTACTGTCCAGGTCTACTCCATGTATTTCTCTTTAGACAGCAGAACCCAGCACTGGATCAGAGATGGTCACAAGTGACATCCACATGTTAATCCCCCATATGCTGTTTTCTTGTCTCCATGTGTGGCTGTGGTTTATCCCCTCAGAGCCAACAGGATGATTGTTTCATGTACAAATGGACCCAGCTCCTCCTCAGTCTGCCCGCTCCTGCCCTCAGCTCTGTGAGTTACAAACTTTCCTGGCTGTGGCACACACAGCAGAGATAACCCACTGAAGAAAGACTTCTTTGGGATCACAGTTTCAGGGGAGTTCAGCCTAGCATGGTGGGGAGGCACAGTGAAGACGCTCAGTTTGTGGCAGTGGGAGTATGTGGAGAGCTGTATACATCATGGTAACCACCACACAGATGTGGGGATGCTGGTACTTGGTCAGTTTTCTCCCTTCTCCTCTTTTATTTAATTCAGATCCTAGCCTGTGGGATGCTCCCCCTCACCGTTCAGACTGGGTTTCCTCCAACTGTTAATCCTCCAGAAAACCCCCAGAGACATGCTCAGAGATGCACCTCAACCCCTAGGTCTGTAGTTCTGAACCTTTCATTTGAAGGGGAGTGGCCCATAGGAGTGGCACAATTAGGAGGTGTGGCCTTGTTGGAGAAAGTGTGTTACTGTGTGGGGCAGGCTTTGAGGTCTCCCATGGTCAAGCTGCTCCCAGTGTGGCTCACAGACTCCTGCTGCTGCCTGCAGATGTAGAACTCCCAGCTCCTTCTCCAGCTCCATGTCTGCCTGCATGGCGCCATGCTTCCCACCATGACAATAATGGAATAAACCTCTGAAACTGTAAGCCAGTCCCCATGAAATGTTTTCCTTTATAGGAGCTGCCATGCTCATGGTGTCTCTTCACAGCAATAGAAACCCTAACTAAGACACTAGCACTGTGACCCCTTAATTCCGTTCCTCATGTTGTAGGGACACCAACCATAAAATTACTTTGTTTCTACTTCCTAACTGTGATTTTGCTACTGTCAGGGATTGTAATGTAAATGCCTGTGCTTTCCGGTGGTCTTAGATGGCCCCCCTGACAGGGTCCTTTGACCCTGTCACAACCCACAGGTGGACAAGTGCTGCTGTGGGTGACTCATCCAGACAGGCTGGTAGTGAAGCAGAGCCACCACAGGCATGGACCCTGATCTCACCTGCAGGCTCTGCAGACGCCCACAGGACCACGGGCAGCGGCAGGCTTCCCTGCCAGGGCATCTGTCTTTCTTCCCACCCTGGGCTCTCAGGCCAAGCTGCTCCTCCTCCCACAGAGCTTGGCACGGCCCTCTGAGCCCCAGTCTTCTACTTGTCCCTGCCTCAGTCATTATTGCTGTGTTTATGAATAGTGCTTTGCCAGGGAGCTTCCCCTAGACAGGAAGGGACCAGGCTTTCTTATTCTGTGTTTACCACCAAGGTCCTAGCTAGAGCTGGGCACCTAGGCACAAAGCGTGACGTGATTTATGCACACGAGGGAATGGATTATGTTTAGATGAGATAGAGAGGACCAGCCATGTCCATAACCTGCTTCCACTGCCCACAAAGGGGCAGCCATGCATGTGAGCCATCTTGTGTGCATCATGTCAGCTGAGCGCCCCCCTCTCCCCTAGTTATCCCATCTACTAGCATGTGAAAGAGAAGAGCTGCCTGGGTGAGTCCTGTCACCCCGAAATGGTGAGGGAGAGTAGCATGTTTGCCTCTCTGTACACCTGGGTCCCGAGAGTCTTGGCTAACTGCCTTTTTTATCTCTGCCTCCCCACTCCCTGACTCTACACAAGC